ATCGCAACCCGGCACACGCAAGATTGGGTGAAGTTATTATTATTTTTCTTGGGGCCGGGTGCTTGTCATGTCACGACTCGCCTGGAAAACTGTGAATAGCGGAGGGCGGCAAGGTGGAGCACTGGGACGCCCCGAAGAATCTTGCATGGTGAATACGGCCTGCTCTTGCGCCACCCGAACGTGTGGAACTCCCCCTCCGCAGGCGTTGATGTCGGCGGGAGCGGCATTTCGGCAGCAGGAGTCGGCACGACGCTCGCCGTCGTGGTGCGTGATGATTCTGTCGTCGGATAGCGCGCGTAGCTCATCCACTGCTGGATGTCTTGGTTCCCAGCGGGTGCTGGTCGGTTTGTGGTCGAACACACGGCACATTCGATGGCGCTCTCCTCTTCCTCACGGGCGGCCGGTCAGGCTTTTTCCACTGCTACGTTCTCTCTCCTTGCTTTCGCCTTTGGCGTGCAGCTGACAGCTTCACACGGGCACCCGCTGATGCCTCTCCCGCCCTCACTTCAGGGATGCGTTGGAACCACACATCGTCACTTCGTTCTGCGAGAAGCGACACCGACCATCGGTGTCGGTGCCTGCTCCCTCGCGACGGCACCGCAAGCCTGAGCCAGGCTGAAACCAGACTCAAACCAGACTGTAACCAGACTGTACTGCGTGATGTGCGTTTTGTGCTTAAAACCAAAACGTGAAACCCCCTCTCCTCTCTGCGCGTCTCTTGCGAGAGGAAAACAAACAAAAGAACAGATGTCCTCCGTGGCACCTCCCCGTGGCCTCTCCCCGCGCTCCCTCTGAGTGCTTGTCATCTCGAGACCCCTTCATACATATTTATGGCTGGCATGTTTGTGCCGAACCGTTGGAAGACAAAGGGGGCCAGGGAGGCTTTGGTTCTATGGGATACAAATTGTGTGTTCCTGTGTGTTAGATTTATTACTTGTATCTCTTATGAGTTACCCTCGGTCTTAATATATCATGGTTATTATTCGGTTCATGTTTAATCAATATTCGTAATGCTCCTCGTTACGTCATTATTTTGAGGGTTTTGCCAAGTTCCGTTATGAGTCTGTCTCCAGGGATTTTTTTTATTTTAAAATATATTTCGATGCTGGGGAATAGTTTTAGTTTGGACTTAAGTTTTTAGTGATGGCAGGGCTCATGTATTGGTTCATTTGGTGAAGTTGTATAGATAGAAAGATACAATATAAAATAACTAGCTGTACTACCCGGCTTCGCCCGGGACTTGTATCCACCACGGCCGGCAGCCTTTGTCTCCCCAGTGGCGATGTTAATACGCCACACCAGTTACTCGTTTTGCGGCTGAGTCCCTTTCTCACCACTCTCCCTCCTTCACCACTCTCCCTCCCTCAGCACTCTCCCTCCCTCACCACTCTCCCTCCCTCACCACTCACGCACGGCCGCCTTTGTCTCCCCAGTGGCGATGTTAATACGCCACACCAGTTACTCGTTTTGCGGCTGAGTCCTTCCCTCACCACTCTCCCTCCCTCACCACTGTCCCTCCCTCACCACTCTCCCTCCCTCACCACTCTCCCTCCCTCACCACTCACGCACGGCCGCCTTTGTCTCCCCAGTGGCGATGTTAATACGCCACACCATTTACTCGTTTTGCGGCTGAGTCCCTCCCTCACCACTCTCCCTCCCTCACCACTGTCCCTCCCTCACCACTCTCCCTCCCTCACCACTCTCCCTCCCTCACCACTCACGCACGGCCGCCTTTGTCTCCCCAGTGGCGATGTTAATACGCCACACCAGTTACTCGTTTGAGGCTGAGTCGACCTAGGGGAGGTTCAAATAATCGTCACCGGTGGTGGCCGTGAGCGGGAATGGAACTCGGTTCGCCGGGTTTGTAGCGCAGCGTAGCGTTAACCACTACACCCACCGCTCCTCACACACCACACACGCACAGACACACACACAGATACACACACAGACACACGCAGACACACACAGACAGACACACACACACAGACACACAGACAGCACGCTAACCACTACACTACCGCTCCCCACACAGACACACACACACAGACACACACACACAGACACAGACAGCACGCTAAGCACTACACTACCGTTCCCCCTACACAACACACGCGTGCGCGTCCATAGGTACACATACACGCGCTTGCTGCAGACACACACGACTGTCAGGGTGCGTACGGCATTAAACGACTGAAAAAAGAAAGCGGCAATGCTGCGCGAGGAACGCCTTAGACCTGCAACACATTTGTGTAATGCGAGCGTAAACACACAAAAACATACAAACACATACACACACATACATACACACACACACACACAAACACATACACACACATACACACACATACATACACATACATACACACAGACATACACACACACACATACACACAAAAACATACACAATACACACACACATACATGCAGACACACAGACACATAACACACATACATACACACAGATACATACACAGAAACACATACACACAATACATAGACACACACATACATACACATAAACACATCCACAGACGTACATACACACATACATACAGACACGCAGACATACACATAAACACATACAAAAAAACCCACATACATACACACACACATACACACAAACACATACACACACATACATACACACATGCATACAGACACACAGACATACACAAACATATACACACATACACATGACCCGGCTTCGCCCGGGACTTGGATCCACCACGCCCGGCCGCCTTTGTCTCCCCAGTGCCGATGTTAATATGCCACACCAGTTACTCGTTTGAGGCTGAGTCGACCTAGGGGAGGTTCAAATAATCGTCACCGGTGGTGGCCGTGAGCGGGAATCGAACTCGGTTCGCCGGGTTGGTAGCGCAGCGTAGCGTTAAGCACTACACCCACCGCTCCTCACACACCACACACGCACAGACACACACACAGACACACACACAGACACACGCAGACACACACAGACAGACACAGACAGACACACACACACACAGACACACAGACAGCATGCTAAGCACTACACTACCGCTCCCCACACACCACACACAGACACACACACAGATACACACACAGACACACACACACAGACAGCACGCTAAGCACTACACTACCGTTCCCCCTACACAACACACGCGCGCGCGTCCATAGGTACACATACAGGCGCTTGCTGCAGACACACACGACTTTCAGGGTGCGCACGGCAGTAAACGACTGCAATAATAAAGCGGCAATGCTGCGCGAGGAACGCCTTAGACCTGCAAGACATTTGTGTAATGCGAGCGTAAACACACAAACACATACAAACACATACACACACATACATACACACACATACACACAAACACATATACACACATACATACACACAGACATACACATACACACAAACACACACATACATACACACAAACACATACACAATACACACAGACATACATGCAGACACACAGACACACACATAACACACATACGTACACACGCATACATACACAGAAACACATACACACACATACATACACACACACATACATGCACACAAACACATGCACACACGTACATACACACATACATACAGACACGCAGACATACACATAAAGACATACAAAAAAACCGACATACATACACACACACATACACACAAACACATACACACACATACATACACACATACATAGAGACACACAGACATACACGTAAACACATACACACATACACATGACCCGGCTTTGCCCGGGACTTGGATCCACGATGGCCGGCCGCCTTTGTCTCCCCAGTGACGATGTTCACACACGACAGCAGTTACGCGTTTGAGGCTGAGTCGACCTAGGGGAGGCCCAGGTCCGTTTCAAATAATCGTCAGCGGTGGTGGGCGTGAGTTGGAATGGAACTGGGGTCGCTCAACCAGCTTAATGACTATTTGTACAAAGAACATATAAAGAATCGATTATAATAACCAGGCTACAGTCCACATTATAGACTGGCAGTACACGCACTCAGCTTCATAAGCAGGCTAGAGTGTACATGATAGAGTGGCAGTACGCTCACCGAGTTTAATAAGCAGGCTACAGTCTACATGATAGACTGGCAGTACGCTGACCCAGCTTAATGACTATTTGTACAGTGAACATTTAAGTAATCGATTGTTGGCGCGTTGGGTTTAAAAGTAATATAAATTGCACACATTGTGGTGGGGGTGGAGTGAAGAGTAGGAAAAACTTTGATGAATTTACCTCAGAGTGGCGTGGTGGGTGTCGAGGCCTAGTAGCGTGCAGAGCCTGCGGCCTCGCCAAAATTGTCCAGCCGGCAAAGGCAGGGTACGGGTGGCGTGCCTTCCCCCCCCCCCTCAGCGCTCCAACAATACTGTGTAATGGCTATTATTTAATTATTTACGGAGCCTATGAAAGTGGCGAAGGCGTGGCTAGCCGTTAGCAGGGGCAACCGCCGTCCAATGAAACTGCAGCCCTTGGCGAAGGCGTCGCTAGCCGTTGCCAGGTCCAATGAAAGCAGCGAAGGCGTCGCTAGCCGTTGCCAGGGGCAACCGCCGTCCAATGAAAGTGCGTGGCGTATGGTCCGAAATCCACACACACACAGACAGACATGCACGATTTTATATATATAGAAGATATATATGTGGTGAATACGAGTAATATAAGGGAATTACTAATAAAGCCACTATTGTAGACTGCAGTCTTATCACGTTGATTTGTTCTTTTTTTGAGTTTCAAACTTTTAACGTTAAAGAAAACGCGAGTTGTAACGTTGTTTGTCTCTGCTCTGCATATTATTTGTGCACCTCCAGACGTTTTGGGAAAGTCGGGTCATAGACCTTTCGTCAATCTGGAGATTTCCAGATAGTCTGTAACCTCTCTTTGCCCCAAGCTTGTTGTTTAATGGAATTTTACGACCTCCACATGCTTGGTGTGGCTTGTGAGGGGTAGAGTTGAGAGTTTTGGGGGTATCTGATTTTTTTATATATATTTTTTTCTATTATTATTAAAAAATATTATTGGCTGAATTATTCTTAATATGAATTTGGAAAAAGGGGCATAAATACAACAGCACCATGAGGCACCACGGTGGTGACAGTCTGGGGAAGCTGAAGATCGCAGGGGTGGTTTGTGTAGGCTTTGTGTGTGTGTAATGTGCATTATACATAGCACCTCACATTTGTCTTCACAGATAAACAAATTTTATTAATGGTTCGAAAGATCTGTACGCGACACGAGCCTATTGCCAGCAGTGGACAGGCAATTTCGGCGAGGTGGGGTGTGGATGCCGCACAGCCAGGACAGACTGACATTGGATGAAACTGCACAGTTTGATTTTGAGATTACATTAACATCCAAACCAGGCAGGGCACAAGGTCGCACTGGCCCTGGGGGAACCCGTGGCCCCGGCAGAACCCGGGGCCCTGGGGAAACCTGCACCGTCCCTCAATTCTCGGCTCGTGTTGAATCTTTTCTATACAACCTTTTGAGAGTGCTGTTTGTTGCTGACCGCTTGACGTTTTGGGCCACTGCTCAGAAACCACGTTAAACAACAAAACGCTTGTACTCTGCTATTTAGACGTTAATACACTCTTACTCATATTTTGTAATTATTCCTCAAATCTTCACCGATTCTCAAGATCTTTTCCAATCAACGCCCCCAATTTTAGGGGGAGATTGCTATGCAGATTCCAATTGAGTAGATCACGGTGTTATTTTTAACATTTTGACTGACACGCCAGCACACAATGGCCTACTCTTGGAAATTATGCTGGAGGATCTTAATCGTCCAGTATCAAGCCTATAAGCACATGATATTTGCACGGTTACTAGGCACCGTGGTATTAACCAGGGCGGAAGTCGATTCACACGGGAAGCACACGACAGAGACGTCGCAGTGGCTGCTCGCTGGGGGCAGACAGGGCCTGCAGATAAGTGTGCATTTGAAATGAGGCCTACAAAGCCTCAAAGATAAGAAAAATACAGACACGAGCTCTCAAAGAAACAGGATACAAACCCATAAAATTTAGGCCTGCAGATAGGCCCTCATGGAAATGGCCTACGCACAGGTTGAGAGACAGGGCCTCAAGGAGCCTAGATAGAGAAGAAAAATATCTTAAAGAGATGAGGCCTACAGACAGAGCTTCATGGAGATAGGGCCTGCATAACATACAGTGTGGGGGCACCACTCTCCTAGCTCCACTGGAGGCCGCTATAGACCCTTGTTGAAGAAGACCACACATAGTTTGGGATTCTTGCTCCAGATCTCCACCCTCACCTCGGGCTCCAGGCACGACACCGGCATGGAGCTGGGCCACAGTGACACGATCAATTTCATTAGCTCCAACACCATCACCAGCAACATAATCAGCATAAACATCAGCAGCAGCAGCATCAACAACACTATCAGCAGCAACAATCAAAATACTGTATCAGCAACATCACCATCAACAATCACAATCAACACCATCAACAACATTCAAATCAACACCATCACTATCAACACCATCACCGACATCAGCACCATCACCATCCCATATATTTACCACCCATTGATAACAGTCATCACTTGTGGCCGGGCTTCATCACAGTTAATTTGTTAGCTTTTGTGAATGTGTCTTGCTATAAGTCAATGTGTCTCTATATAGATCTGTGGATCTCTAGGTCCCATGGGTCTCTCTATAGTTCTATGGGTCTCTATGTATGTCTGTGGATCTTCCATGTGAGTCACTGGTGACCGGGCTGAAACCATCAACTCAGTAGACTTAAGAAGCCATTTTACCACAGTGGGCGGCTAAAAACTGGACTTGAACCCAGGACCTCAACGGTGCCAGCTCAGTGTTTTCGACACAATCATGATGAACTTCCTGTGTTTTTGATCAGAACCTGTTCTGTGGGAAGAGAGCGCAGCAAAGTGGTGTGGCGAACACCAGGCTGGGGGAAATAAGAAGACACGGGGAGACAAGACAGGGGGAACACAAAGGCATATGGGGACACACGGAGGAGAGAGGGAAGAGAGGTTAAATAACTTGCAGTTATATATCTTTGTAGTTGACATATAAACACAAACTGATGCAAATTACAAATACAAAGACAGTCACAGAGAGACAATTATACACATACCCAGACACTCGATGTGACACAGGTACCTTTTTAGAGACAGAGTATATCCCGATTAAACAGAATAGCAGAGAGACAGTCACAAAGACACTCGGAGACTAAAGACACAATCACAGACAGAGACACAGGGGTTCATAGAGATAACAGCCGCCATTCGTCACTAAGTAGTGGTGGCAACATCGCAACTTTTGTGCCAGACGAGGTGCACGTTGTGTGGAAGAATCGCCGGTAGGTCCCTGGACAGATCAAGGTCCCGTGGGTTGACTGAGATGACTGGCAGATGCGCGCCACCTGTGCTCCCCATTGTGCAAACTTGTGCCAATGTTGTTTTGAGCATAAATACACCGCCCTCTGTTGTTGTTGGAGGGCGACTGCCTCCAACTACCCAGTAGCGTCCTTCACAAGCCGCTTCCACAGAAGCCGATCTTGACACCGCTGGTATCGGTCATTAGCAGGTCCACTCAGCTGCACATCCTTCTGTATGTACCACAGCCCAATTCCTCTCGCCCATGCCATGCCCGTTTAACTCCCTCTATCCGGCCAAATAGAGGCAGATACCAATTGAGCCATAGAAACACAGACTCACACATAGAGAAAGCCGCAGGCTCATACCCTGGCACACAGAGGACACAGAGATAGATTCTTACCAGAGTCCAACCAAGGCAACTTGCACAGGAGCTCCTATCCATGGTATCCGCTGAGAAACATAATAACCACGATCATTATCACCATCATCACTATCATCATCACTGTTCCCTCGTGGTAGCGTGGTTTTTTTTCTTCAGGTCCTCCAGTTTTTCCCTCCACATTTCAAAACATGCATTTAGATTATTTGTCTGCTATAAATTTCCATGTGATAAGCAACTTCGTTGAGCTGTCATTTGTGATAGCCAGGTCACTTCTAGAAAAAATAACTAAAAGCTCAGTGGCCTTTACGTGGTAAAATGAAACTGATTTTTTTGTGATTTGCTTACCTTTCCTATACTTTGCACTCCTATCGTGTTTTTGTATTGTTCTTGTCGCTTTCTGACCCGCCCCTACTGGACATTTGTGAAAAAGAGGTTGATAACTCATCGGATTCACGCAGTATAAATAAAGATCCTGATTCTGATCATCTCCATCATGATCATCATTAGTATCACCATCATCATTGTCATCATCTTTGTCATCACCATTATCATCAGTAGCATTATCATCACTACGATGAATATTACTGCAAAAATTATTTTCACTGGTAAGGAACGTTTCACACAAAGCTGAAAGATTTGAAAGAGAGAACCAGGTGACAAAATAAGATGCAAAGATGAAGACAACTAACTAGAGAGAGGTTTATAGCAAGGCCGTAGCCATGGAGTCAACATTGGGGGGGACCAAATCTTCCAGGGGGTCTGGGGGTCCCCCCCCCCCCCCAGAAAAAAAAATCTAAATTTGGAAACGAATTTTCTGCCTAAAATATTTTTAAAAAATTCACTAACACATAGGATAGACTTTTTATTTATTTTTTACAATAATGTCGAATAGTGTATTGTATTACATTGCTCTGTTTTTTTTATCTTTTCTTGTTTCATTGTATGTGAAGTACCGGTGAAGACACTTGACGCCGAGGTGGAGGCACACGGATATTTATTCAACACAACTCGTATGTGACATACAGCACTGGAGGGGGTATCGGCCCCCTCACCCGACTAGCTAAGGATACACTTCCTGGCTAAGTCCTAGCCTACCTCACAGTCCTCCACTACTGGGCTAGGGGAGGCTACTTGGCCCGACACTGGTAAGTCGGGCCGGTACCCGGAGTCCCAGACCAGCTCTTAGAAGAGCACCGGCTCTGGCTTTCGGGACCACGCCGCTGGCTCGGTCCTGTTCGGCCCTGACAAGGACATCGAACGAGGGAGTCCAGGGCTCTATCTAAGACGTCTTCAGTCTTCTTAGTTAACTATAACATAACTAACCCCCGAGCCCCTATAACGTCCCCTTTTATACCCAACCCTCCTTGAGGGGTGGGGCCCCGGGGGATCATAACGCCAAACCAGCCCCCCCCAGGGTGTCTGGCTCGGACGTCGCAGAGGGCATCTCCCTGTGCACACACGTAGCCCCGCCCACTGTGTTTCTTTCCCATAGACTGCCATACATAACGGCCCTCTCTCTAACACCCTTACATCACTCCCCCCTGCATAGCTCGCAGCCGTCCCGGCTGCCAACATACACAATGACAATAAAAATGAATTTATACCGTAACCGCGCGTGTGCCTCACTAATTTCAACAATAACAAGAACGAGAACACAACAAAATGCAACAGCAAGAAGAGAAAACAACCCGACGCACCCCCCCTTTGATAAATACGAATTCCGTAAAAAAAAAACAAGCTATATACAATTTGCAGGAAACCCACCATACACACAACACACAATGAACACAACCTATATACATGAAAACTGGCTAACCCACTCGAACTTTACGAATCTTCAGCTCACTGTTTCAACGCGCCTCAGAGGGTCTCAACCTCCGAGCCGTCAGGTCAAGCCGTCAGCCATAGCATGACGGGACCACCCTCCCTGAGCCATGTGAGCGCACAGCCCACAAGGCTAGACATACCACGGAGTGTTTTAATCTCCGGGCTGTCAGGTCAAGCCGTCAGACACAGCCTGACGGGACCACACTCCCTGAGCCATGTGAGCACACAGCCCACTAGGCTAGACATACCACGGAGTGTTTTAATCTCCGGGCTGTCAGGTCAAGCCGTCAGACACAGCATGACGGGACCACACTCCCTGAGCCACGTGAGCACACAGCCCACTAGGCTAGACATACCACGGAGTGTTTTAATCTCCGGGCTGTCAGGTCAAGCCGTCAGACACAGCCTGACGGGACCACACTCTCTGAGCCATGTGAGCACACAGCCCACTAGGCTAGACATACCACGGAGTGTTTTAATCTCCGGGCTGTCAGGTCAAGCCGTCAGCCATAGCATGACGGGACCACCCTCCCTGAGCCATGTGAGCGCACAGCCCACAAGGCTGGACATACCACGGAGTGTTTTAATCTCCGGGCTGTCAGGTCAAGCCGTCAGACACAGCCTGACGGGACCACACTCCCTGAGCCATGTGAGCACACGGCCCACTAGGCTAGACATACCACGGAGTGTTTTAATCTCCGGGCTGTCAGGTCAAGCCGTCAGACACAGCATGACGGGACCACACTCCCTGAGCCACGTGAGCACACAGCCCACTAGGCTAGACATACCACGGAGTGTTTTAATCTCCGGGCTGTCAGGTCAAGCCGTCAGACACAGCCTGACGGGACCACACTCTCTGAGCCATGTGAGCACACAGCCCACTAGGCTAGACATACCACGGAGTGTTTTAATCTCCGGGCTGTCAGGTCAAGCCGTCAGCCATTGCATGACGGGACCACAACGCTCATGTTAAACACGCAACACTCACAGGGCCATCCTGGTCAGGATCTGCGCCCCAAGATAAGTGACAGCCAGCACCACAATTCCAAATCCCTGGCAGCATGTCACCATCGCAATTTAACACCATCACAACACATACACCTCACATCCCGTATCCGTACCCCTCATCTCCGAGACTCGCATTGCAGCAATGCAGCTGTACCAACCGAGTGGAGAGAGCGACGCAATTAACGGAAACGCACCCCCGATCCATGTAGAACACAAGGAGCATTCCCGCACAAAAGACATCCTACCATCACAACACATACACCTCACTTCCCGCATCCGTACACCTCATCTCCGAGACTCGCATTGCAGCAATGCAGCTGTACCAACCGAGTGGAGAGAGCAACGCAATTAACGGAAACGCACCCCCGATCCATGTAGAACACGAGGAGCATTCCCGCACAAAAGACATCCTCTGTGCAACAACGGACAGGAACAAACCAGTGGGTTTGAACAACCCGTACCTGTAATTTCAAAATCCCCTTCAACATTAACCAAATAACACTCGCACAAGCCAAAATGCAAAAAGAACAGAGGGAAAAACCGTCCGCGAGGAACACAAAACCGGAGAGTCAAGGTGAAAAAGTCCCTCCCAGCAGTGTCTCCATAGTCGGAAGCCTCTCTTCAATCACGGACCCCTCTCGCTCTTACCACCGATGCCCTCCCCCTCTCTTCTTACTTCAATGGGGGAAGGGAGGCCCGTAATCACAGGGCTGCAGTGGTACGCCGCCAGGCCGGCACACAAGGCCCACAAGGCCGGCACACAAGGCGCAAAGCACACAAGGCGCAAAAGGCTGGAACGCCGGCACGTTGAAGTGGCGTGAAACGCCGGCATGGTGCAAATGGCGGGAACGCCGACACCGCCGAAACGGCGCGAACGCCACAGCCAATTTCGCCATCACTCACCAACACCCGGCCACTCCCTTGCCACCAGCAGCTGGTCGAGTTGACGGGCGACGTTGTTCCAACTCGCCGTCGATGGCGAGCAGCCCGGGCCCGCAGCCTCTGATGGAGTGCAGCGGTTGTTGTAGATTCCTGCGGGCAGATGTCACCTCCACTCGGCTGTGCGTCGGTGCGAGCGGCCGATGGGATCGCCCGTCGCGGTGGTGATGACGTCGTAGCCTCAGCGACGGCGATGCCGGAGTGGATGTGTAGGCTGGCCACGCCCCGAACAGCTGCAGCGTCGATGGCGGGAGATTCAAACTCGGGCCGCTCCGAAATGGCGGGAAGGCGCCCTGGTCGCCGGCCCGCCTCAGCCCGTGTTGAACCACCGGCCCCCAGCCGCGCGATGGTCTCCAGCGCGGCGGCAGCGGCACACAGCAGCCCCGCCAGCCTCCCGTGAGCCAGCCGCAACGCGTCCGGCCGTGGTCCTTCCTCACTCAGATGCCCCGGTAAGGAGACATCAGGCCTCGGCTGCACCATGGCTTGTGTAGCCGTCTCGGGCTAGACGATCTCGGCAGTATCTTCCTCTTTCGGTACTTTGGGCCGCGCTGTCTTCCGCGTGTCCATGTTCGAGTTTTACTTCTGACACCAGTTGAAGTACCGGTGAAGACACTTGACGCCGAGGTGGAGGCACACGGATATTTATTCAACACAACTCGTATGTGACATACAGCACTGGAGGGGGTATCGGCCCCCTCACCCGACTAGCTAAGGATACACTTCCTGGCTAAGTCCTAGCCTACCTCACAGTCCTCCACTACTGGGCTAGGGGAGGCTACTTGGCCCGACACTGGTAAGTCGGGCCGGTACCCGGAGTCCCAGACCAGCTCTTAGAAGAGCACCGGCTCTGGCTTTCGGGACCACGCCGCTGGCTCGGTCCTGTTCGGCCCTGACAAGGACATCGAACGAGGGAGTCCAGGGCTCTATCTAAGACGTCTTCAGTCTTCTTAGTTAACTATAACATAACTAACCCCCGAGCCCCTATAACGTCCCCTTTTATACCCAACCCTCCTTGAGGGGTGGGGCCCCGGGGGATCATAACGCCAAACCAGCCCCCCCCAGGGTGTCTGGCTCGGACGTCGCAGAGGGCATCTCCCTGTGCACACACGTAGCCCCGCCCACTGTGTTTCTTTCCCATAGACTGCCATACATAACGGCCCTCTCTCTAACACCCCTACATATGTAATGGCAGAGATTAGGGATTAATAAAGTACAACCATAACCACAATCATATAAACAGAGATCTATTTTATAGCAATATATTGGGGGGGACATTTTGAGCATATTTGAATATTGGGGAGGCTGTGTGTGTCCCACAATATATATTATAATTACGGCCTTGGTTTATAGACGCCATACACATCAGCAATGTCCGCAACCGTCCACAACCAGCCTGATCTGCACAACGAGGGAGTTCCAAAACCGGTAGGCACCAGTGGGGAGGTCCCCAACCGGTAGGCACCAGTGGGGAGGTCCCCAACCGGCAGGCACCAGTGGGGAGTTCCAAAACCGGTAGGCACCAGTGGGGAGGTCCCCAACCGGCAGACACCAGTAGGGAAGTCCCCAACCGGCAGGCACCAGTGGGGAGGTCCATAACCGGGGGGCACCAGTGAGGAGTTCCACAACCGGGGGCGGGGGGGCACCAGTTGATCATCACCATGACCGATAGGGAAACATCTGTCGACTGAACCTGGGCAACGATTAGCCTCCCACTATATGTGTACCGGATGTAAATTCCTCTGGCACGCCTATGGACGGCTTTTCGAATTATACGGTCGAAGATGATAAATAATGTCGGGGTCACACCCCGAGGTGAACAGGGAATAGCTTTGATTCCCGGTCACACAGCTTGAACCCGGGCCTGCCCCCACCATCATGAATATCCTTCATGATTCTGAACGATTGATCACCATCATTACTTCCATCGCCACCATTACCAATTTTCATAATCAACACCACAGTCACTACCACCGATGTTGAAACTCCTGCCCACGTTCCCATTGCTGGGGCCTGGGGAGCAGTCTGCCTCACCTTGAGGAGAGGTGTCTTCTCAAGCGTGTTCATGATGACTGGTGGAATGGCTGCAGGGAGCAGAGATTCACATAATCACCAACAACAAAAACTGCCATTCGCCACTAAGTGGTGGTGACGTCACCACGGCACTTGTGCCAGGCCAAGTGCACTCCGAGGCCATGTGAAGTTTCGAAGGCTCACTGGCAGGACAGACCCAGGTGCTATGGGTTGACTGAGATGACTGGCAGGTAGCTTCCATGCAGCGTTACACACCTAACAAACAATGCAGCTCAACTGATTTGGAGTGAGACCCCTGCTGCCAAACCGGAGCTGGTTAGAAGCATGGTTGTGGGGGTTGTGGTTGTTGTGGTGGTTGTGGTTATTGTGGTGATTGTGGTGGTGGTGCTTGGCCCTCTCACCCATGGCCGGCAGGGCCATGCACACGCGGGAGAAGACGACCTGAGCAATGGCGGAGCGTGCGGCGATGCGAGACTCAGAGACACGGACTCCGTGTTCATCAGCCACGGAGACACCATGAATCAGCTCCCTATGGAGACATGGGAACATGGAGACACCGTGAGTCAGCTCCCTATGGAGACAGGGGGACATGGAGATTCCATACGTGAGCTCCCTACGGAGGCACAGGGACATGGAAAGACTGAATTAGCTCCCTATGGAGACACGGAGACAAAGGGACACAGGGAGACACTGGGAGAGACACGGGGAGGAACAAGGGGAGACATATGGGAAGGCGCATGGGAATACAAAGAGATGCACAGGGAGGCACACGGAGAGACATACGAGGAAGAACAAGGGGAGACACACAGGGAGACACACACGGAGACACACAGGGAGACACACAGGGAGACGCATGAGGAGATACACGGGGAGTCGCATGGGGAGATGCAGGGAGATGCATGGGGAGATGCAGGGAGAGCAGGGAGAGATGCACAGGAAGACACGGGGATAAGCATAGGGAGGCACAGTGAGGCGCATGTATCACCTCTGCCGCATGAAGGGGACGTTGATGCAGTTGGCGGCAGCGACAGCGGCGAAGGGGACCAATCTCCCCATGATGGGCGGCAGCGTCTGCATGACAACGGTGATCAGGATGGGGGTGGGGGAGGAGGCACCACGGCGCACACGCATGGAGATGCATTGAGACGCACAGAGATGCACGGAGGTCACACAGACTCAATGGCTGAGCTGCGGACTCGACTCCCCTGCACCGATATTGCGGAGCTGAATGGCGCCGGCAAATGCGCAGGCACCCAGGATGAGAGCCTCGTCGAGTCTCAGCACTCTCTTGCTGGAGGCTCCTACCCAGTGTTTATGTAGTGGTGGTATTGACGTGCGCCGGCAGTGATGGATCACGGGGCGCGGGGTTGGGCACGCGATGGGGGCGTGGCATGGACGCGCGCGCCGGTGGTGAGGCGCGCTCACACAAGCTGGGAAAAGAGGATCGTAGCGAGTGCGCAGTGATTGGTCAGATAAGTGGGTACTCTCAGCGACGTCCGCAGGAGGGGTATAAAGGGGGACGCGCGAGAGCACTCGTGGTCAGTGTTAACCAGTTGAAGACCGAAGATGGGGTGGAGGAGGTAGGGGCCCGAGACCCCTAGTCCCGCCGTCCTTGTGGGGACCGGGGCCCTGTGTGGCTCGGAGCCGAGACTGGGGGGACCGTAGCCCGACGCCCGTGTGGGTCGGGACGGTGGTACCCAGAGCCGAGACGGGCACCCCGGCTGGGTGTGTCCCGGAAGGCTACGGGGCGTAAGAGCCCGTGTCAGTACAGCTGAGTGGGTGTTGGTCACCCGTGTAGCTGAGTGGGTGTTAGTCACCCGTGTAGCTGAGTGGGTGTTAGTCACCCGTGTAGCTGAGTGGGTGTTGGTCACCCGTGTAGCTGAGTGGGTGTCCGTCACCCGTGTAGCTAAGTGGGTGTTGGTCACCCGTGTAACGAAGTAGGGTGTTAGTCATCCGTGTAACTACAAGTTGGCGAAAATAAAGAGTGTGCTACCCGTGAAGTCGTCTCCTGCCGAGTTACTACTTTACAACTGGCGTCAGAAGTAAACCTGTCTTCAAGGAGAATGGACACAAGGAAGACTTCTCGTTCCCACGTGCAAGACCGGGGAGACGACGACGTACCGGTGACACCACCCTCGGGAGGAGAGGACGAGGAGTTGCCGCCGATGCAGCACTTCGCGGAAATGGCCGATGCTCCGCCCGCCTCCGACACCAGCCTGCAGGACGCACACTCCCGCCTGGCGGAGTTGCTGCTCGCCGCCGCTGCGATCTTGGCGGACATCTCCGTTCCAGCGGCCGGTGGAACGCCTGCGGGGTTGGAAGAGGCGGCGCGGCTGGAGGGTTCCCGCCATAAGGCGTTTCGCGCCAAAAGTTTGGGAGTTGGCGCCATTTTTGAGGGTCCGCCTCCGGTTGGCGGGAAACGCGGACACCACGTGGCCAGAGGTCTCCACACAGCGCAGCCCGCGTCATCGGCGAGCGCCGGAGCTCTCCATTTTGCGCCTGCAGAGGGAGCCGACATTTTCTACAACCACAGCGGCGCGCGGGAAAATCGTTCCAACGACGACGACGACGATCGAGTTCTCCAGCAACGATTGCCCGCGCTGTCGGTGTTCAAGGCGGACGGGGGCGACTGGGGAGCCTTCCAGCGACGGTTCATCGCGCATCAAGAAATGTCGGGGTGGTCCGACACCACTGCCCTGCGCGCGCTGCCAGCGATGCTCGACGACGACGCGCTTGCGGCCTTCACGTCTGCCCCGAGGTCGTCCCGCTCAACGCTCCAGGCCGCGCTGCACCTGTTGGCCAAGGTGTTCGGGCCGCCCTCGACCTGTCGCCACCAGTTCTACGATCGGCGGAAGGTGGTTGGAGAAACAACGCTCGCCTATCGCACGGCGCTGCTCGCCCTGGCGGATTCAGCTTTTCCCCGCATGGACAAGGAGGGGAAGGACGCCATGGTGACGGAGCAGCTGCTGGCGCTGGCTCACGGATTGGGAGTTCCCATTAATACGGCGGACGAGATGGACATCTGCTCCCTGGGGATTGCCACGAGTATCCACGCTTACGAGGTCCTACAGCGGAAGCCGACGGTCGTCTGCGCATCGGTGGAGAACGGGGCACCGGCCGCCACGATCATCGGACCTCAGCCTGCTGTGCCTCGGGAGGAGGCCTTCGCTGGTTCGAGGCCGGGGGAGTGGAGAACGGGAGGTCGTTCGCCCACACGCTCCTCCCGCAAGCTGGAGCAACCGAAACCTACGACGTCCCTCGTCGTCTGCTACAACTGCGGCCTTCGGGGCCACGTCGCGTCCGGGTGCCGGGCCCCGCGTCAACGCACCGCGGGACCACGTCCGGACGACGACCAGGGACTCAAGACATCCCAACTGAACCCGGCAAGTCGCGGCACCTCACACGTTCGGTCCACACGCACGGCACGTTCGGGTCGCCGCTTAGCGGTGGGGGGACCGTGTATGGGCGCCGGGGGTTCGGTTCGGCGAGAGGGGTCCGCGTACGGCCCGAAGGCAGTCGAGTGGTCCGAATTGGCCCACAGGATTGTGGCTGCGTCGGCCGGGTCGTCCGTGGTAACGGGGTACATTGACGGGGTTGAGGTCCGGGTGCTCGTGGACACGGGTGCGTCGGCCACTATTATTTTGGACCTTATTTATAATATTCTTCCCGTACAATGTCGACCACTTCTGCCGGTGGACGTACCATTTTACGCGGCAAACGGGGGATCTTTGGGAATCATCGGCCAGATTCGGGCGAATATTTGTATTGGCGACATTAAATTGGCGGGTCCTATTTTTGTATCATCATCGTTGGCCGTTCCTTGTTTACTAGGCACGGACTTTCTGTCTAAAATGCCCATAAAAATTCTCATAGACCAGGCCTGCATTGAGCTTCCGTCGGGTCGGCGGGTTGAGTTTTTGAAGAGTCCAAATAAGATACGCACGGCTTGTGCGACGGTGCAGGCGCTGGCAACCCGGACTGTACGGGTGCCCCCGGGATCGCAAATGTTGGTACCCCTTCGGTTGAGAAAACCCCTTGGGGCGGATGCGGGGGCGCAGGGAGTTCTATTGGGGCCGTCTAACAGGGCTAAAGGGGACCTCGACTTAGCGGTGGCCCAGACCATGGTGAGGGGGGACAGTGAGCCGTTCGTTGTGGTCCTGAATACGGGGTCGCGGCCGGCCGTGATTACGCAGGGAACGGTGCTCGCTCACGCCGCGCCGCTACCCGTCGAGGAACAGCTCGTTGCTCACGCCGATTCACATGTCGATACGCATCCCCAAAGTGGGGAGGGGACGGAGTGGTTGGACTCGTTGTGTGCCGGGTCCAGTACCTTGTCCAGTGTGCAGTTGGGTGCATTGAGGGGCTTGCTGCTCGAGTTCGCTGACGTGTTTAGCAGGCACAAGTACGACATTGGCTGCACAGACCTGTTGCGCCACCACATAGAGACTGGGGACGCGGCCCCTATTCGACAGAATCCCTTCCGGCTCAGTCCAGCCGAGAAGGAGCATGTGCAGTCGGCAGTAAATGACATGTTGGCGGCCGACATCATTGCGCCCTCTTCCAGTCCGTGGGGTGCTCCTATCGTCTTGGTTAAAAAACAGGATGGATCCCTGCGGTTCTGTGTTGATTTCCGCCGCCTAAACAAAATATCAATGGCCGATGCGTATCCGCTCCCCAGGATGGATGAGTCGCTGGATGCCTTGGCAGGAGCACAGTTTTTTTCGACGCTCGATTTGCTTTCGGGATTTTGGCAATTGCCCCTCGATGACGAATCAAAACCTAAAACCACTTTCCGGACACCGGGAGGCCTATTTGAGTTCAACCGATTGCCCATGGGTTTACATTCCGCTCCTGCCACGTTCCAGAGGCTCATGGAATTGGTTTTGTCAGGCCTTCAATGGGACACCTGTTTGATTTACCTCGATGATATCATCGTTTTCAGCCGAACTTTTGAGGAGCACCTCCAGCGACTGAGGGCAGTGTTTCTCAGGATGCGTTCCGCGAAGCTTAAATTTAAACCGGCTAAATGTTTTCTGCTTCGGGAATCGGTCAGGTATTTGGGCCATATCGTTAGCCGTTCGGGGATCTCGACGGACCCTGCTAAGACGCAATGCGTCGGCTCATGGCCAACACCGACCTCTGTTACTGAAGTCCGCAGCTTCATAGGATTTGCCTCCTATTACCGTCGTTTTGTCAAACAGTTTGCCACCATAGCCAGGCCCCTGCACGCCTTGACGGCTAAAGGGGTGCGGTTTCACTGGGGGCCGGAGGAGGAGGCCGCGTTCTGCTCCCTTCGTGACGCCTTGGTGCAGGCTCCCCCCTTGTGTTACCCCGATTTCACGCAACCGTTTGTGCTCGACACGGATGCCAGTAACACGGGTATCGGGGGAGTGCTCTCACAGGTGGTCGGGGGGGTCGAACGGGTGGTCGCCTACGGTAGCAGGGTTCTGTCCCCCGCGGAACAACGCTACTGCGTGACACGGCGTGAATTGCTGGCGATTGTGTTTTTTATACAGCAATTCAGGCCGTATCTGTATGGCCGTCACTTTACGGTTCGCACGGACCATGCGGCTCTCCAATACGCTATGCGGGTGGCGCAGCCATCCGGCCAATTGTCCCGATGGTTGGAGGTCCTTCAGGACTACCAATTCACGACGATTTACCGCAAGGGGTTGCGCCACTCGAATGCGGATGCATTGTCACGGTTGCCGACGCGTACGGAATGCGCATGTCAGTTGGGATCGGCGCGGTGTAAACCTTCTGTCGATGTCCCCGCGGAAGTGGTGCTAGCCGCCACGGATACTACGGGGGTCGACGCCCCCACGGGGAGGGACTCGCTGTTAGCATTGCCTCTCATCGAGTGGGGCCGTCTGCAAATGGCCGACAGCTCCCTACTCGCGCTACGTCGGAAGGTTAACGTTCCCGAGGGCGGGGAAACGCGGGTCGGTTCCTGGGTGTGCAGACAGGGCCTCTTGATGAAGTGGGACTCCATGTCCCGGCGTCACATGCTTGTGGTGCCGGTTGCTGTACGGGGTAAGGTCGTCCTGGCTGCCCATGAACGACTCATGCATCTGGGGTTTCACAAAACGCTCGCCCTCATTCAGCGAGACTACTATTGGCCTGGGATGGGCAGTGACGTGGCGAACATTCTTAAGGGGTGTGTAGGGTGCGCTAAAAGAAAACCGCCACCAATAGCGGCTAATCCACCGCTTCAATCCATTCAAGTTTCGCGCACGAACGAATTGGTCGCGCTAGACATCTTGGGGCCCTTTCCCACTACACCTCGGGGAAATAAGTTCCTGCTGGTTGGCGTAGAGTACTTCACCCGCTGGCCCATGGCGTGGCCACTCGCCAACCAGTCGGCTGCGGCAGTGGCGGACGCCTTTGTCCAAGGTTACGTTTTGGACAAAGGCGCCCCCGAACGCTTGCTGACGGATCAAGGGAAAAACTTTTCGAGTGTTTTGTTGCGCGAGGTGTGCGACCTGTTGGGTACAAAGAAAGTACGTACCTCCCCGTACCACCCGCAGACTGACGGTATGGTTGAACGTCTGAACAGGACGATTACGTCTATGCTGTGCCAACAGGTATGCGACGACCAGGTGGATTGGGACTTACAGGTAGCGGGGGTACTAGCGGCCTATCGGATGGCACCCCATGCGGCGACGGGGTTTTCTCCATTTTTTCTGATGTATGGGCGGGAGGCCGATCCGGCCATGGACGTCCAACTGGGGATTTCCCAGCCACGTGCAAAATCTAAATTGGCAGACCATATCAAGTTTAACATCGCCAAATTGGCTGAAGCGCGAGAGGCTGCGAGATTGAATTCGCGGTCTCGGCAGATCGCGAACGAGCGATTGCATGGACGGAAGGTGCATACGCACAATTGGGAACCGGGCGATAAGGCCTGGCTGCATTGTCCACACGCACCGTTGGCTACGTCCCCCAAACTGTTGAGACCATGGAGGGGACCGGTGGAAATTGTGCGGGTTGCACCACCCCAGAGTATACAGATTAAATGGGGAAAACGCCGTTGGTACGTGCACCCCTCCCGACTGAAACCCTACGCGGCGCCGCGTGACCCCGGGTTGTGCCGTGACGACCGAGCGTGTGATGTGACCGTCGACTCGGGGAGGGATGTGTCGCAGGCTGCTCCTCACGTGTCTCCACCTGACCCACCCCCAGGTGTCTCGGACCTGACGGCTGTTGACCGTCGGGAACCGGAACCCCGCGGCTCGCGCGGAGCCCCGATGCCTGGCCCATGCCTTCCTGAACTGCCGGCGCCACCGGATGGCCAACTGCGTCCTGTGCCGTACGACGGTCCGGCAAGGCGGACTCGGGCAAGGACGCAACACTTTTCATGAAAAAAAAAAAGAAAATTTTTTTTTTTCTTTTTTTGTTAAAGCCCGACTTCGTTGCCGGCTTCCCCCTCTGCCGGGGTAATGTCCCGTTCAAGGGACGCTCGGACATTGGGACGCTGCATGAGTCGGAGAGAAAAGAAGAGAAAATGATTAAAGAAATGTTTTTTTATTGTTACTCTTTCCGCATACACAGTATCGTTGCCACTCGCCGGATTGTGCATGTTGTTCTTGTTGCGGGTGTGGCGGTTGCTGGGTTTTGCAGATTGCGGTGTTCATGTTGTGTTGTTAGGGTTTGTGTTATGTTACGGGGCACACATGGGAGTGAAGGGGTGTTGTATGTTTTATTAGCAGCCGGGTCGGCTGCGAGCTATGTGGTAGGGGGTGATGTAGTGGTGGTATTGACGTGCGCCGGCAGTGATGGATCACGGGGCGCGGGGTTGGGCACGCGATGGGGGCGTGGCATGGACGCGCGCGCCGGTGGTGAGGCGCGCTCACACAAGCTGGGAAAAGAGGATCGTAGCGAGTGCGCAGTGATTGGTCAGATAAGTGGGTACTCTCAGCGACGTCCGCAGGAGGGGTATAAAGGGGGACGCGCGAGAGCACTCGTGGTCAGTGTTAACCAGTTGAAGACCGAAGACGGGGTGGAGGAGGTAGGGGCCCGAGACCCCTAGTCCCGCCGTCCTTGTGGGGACCGGGGCCCTGTGTGGCTCGGAGCCGAGACTGGGGGGACCGTAGCCCGACGCCCGTGTGGGTCGGGACGGTGGTACCCAGAGCCGAGACGGGCACCCCGGCTGGGTGTGTCCCGGAAGGCTACGGGGCGTAAGAGCCCATGTCAGTACAGCTGAGTGGGTGTTGGTCACCCGTGTAGCTGAGTGGGTGTTAGTCACCCGTGTAGCTGAGTGGGTGTTAGTCACCCGTGTAGCTGAGTGGGTGTTGGTCACCCGTGTAGCTGAGTGGGTGTTAGTCACCCGTGTAGCTGAGTGGGTGTTGGTCACCCGTGTAGCTGAGTGGGTGTTGGTCACCCGTGTAGCTAAGTGGGTGTTGGTCACCCGTGTAACGAAGTTGTAGCTGAGTGGGTGTCCGTCACCCGTGTAGCTAAGTGGGTGTTGGTCACCCGTGTAACGAAGTAGGGTGTTAGTCATCCGTGTAACTACAAGTTGGCGAAAATAAAGAGTGTGCTACCCGTGAAGTCGTCTCCTGCCGAGTTACTACTTTACATTTACACTGGGCAGTGGTGATTGCTGCTGCTGTCGCAGCTCCTCTGTGCAATGCCAATGGACGTGAGTTTTGCTGATCCCATCTGTGGAGGACAATATTCCTGACATACAATATCCCGGTGTCTCCAAACTAAGCTGTATCTGCGGCAGCAGTTACATTGGGGAAACTAAGCGACATGTCTCGGACCGTGTTCGTAAACATAAGGCAGATCTGAAACACGGTAGGACCAATACTTCTGCCGTAGCTGATCATTATTTTAATGTGGTTGGCTTACACGAATTTGATTTGTCTAAAACGATGGTACTTTGCAAGCCTACTGGCTATCAACAAAGATTCGTTCATGAAACCATCCACTTAAAGGGACACAATTTCAACCGAGAAGACGGTTATAAACTCAGCAATCATTGGAAAGATGTCATCAACCACTTTGGGTCATGACTTGATTTGTACTTTCTTGTCAACCTCCACCGTCAGCCATGTGAATGTGTGGAGCGAGGTGCAATGCCCCCCATCTCTACCCCCTCTCTCTCCCCCGATCTCTACCCCCCCCCCCCCTTCTCTCTCCCCCCCCTCTCTCTTTCCCTATCTCTACCCCTTCTCTCTCCTGCATTAGCATTGCCTGCCCCATTCATGCTGCTGACACACTTGGACTGCGCCACTCGCCGCTCAGGGCTGGCTCCACGGCTCATGTGCCCTGCCCACTCACAGCTTTGGCCCACCCATTCATGCTGCCCTGCAGGACTTGTCCCCACTTCTTCTGACACTTGGGCTGCGTCCATTTCAAGGCTTTATAAATAGTTGCAGATGGAGGCTTGCCCACTTTTCTCTCCGCCTGATGACGACCTCTTGTGTTGCGTTCGAAACGTCGTGAGTTTTGGGTTTCATTAAAAAAAAAACATTTTATTATTATTATTTTTATTTTATACTTTTCTATCTACGTGACTTTACCGAAAGAACCAAAGAATAATCAAGACATCGTTCACCACTGAGCCATGGCCGGGAATCGCATGGGATGGGGGGCTGGGGTCGCAGTCGGGATCAGGGTCGTGACCTTTTACCTTGGCGAGGGACTTCAGTGCCAGCGCGGTAGCCACGGCTCCCGATGTGGCACAAATATATGCGCTTGCCAGCTGCCTGCAGCAGGAAAAACAAGTGTCACGACTGAGACACTTATTCATAGACCCGTATCTCCTCTCATGTCCTTTGTCCTCGAGTCCCTGCATGTCTCCCCATTTGTCCCCGTGTGTCTCCGTGTGTTCCCGTGTGTCACCCTGTTTGTCGCTGTGTGTCTCCCTGTATCCCCGGTGGGCTCCGTGTGTCCCTGTGTGTTTCCATGTCTCCCCGTATGTCCCCAAGTGTGACCGTGTGTCTCTGTGTCTCCTTGTGTCTCCCTATTTGTCCCCGTGCATCCCCGTAGTCCTTTGTCCCTGTATCTCCGTGTCTCCCCGTGTGTCTGCCGTGTCTCCCCATGTGTCCCCATGATCACGTGGTGCTCATGGGTGCGACTCCGCTGCGGTTCGTGAAGTTGACGATGGCATTGAATGACTGATTGATCCACTGCCAGAAAACCACCGCCGGGGTCGATCTAGAGCAAAAGGCAACAATCAACTATTACAGGCAACCATCAACCATCATGGGCAACAATCTACCACTACAGGCAACCATCAACAACCACGGACAACGATTAACCACCACGGGCAACCATCAACAAGTCAACTGACCATCAGCTGATATTAGTGCATAGGTAAGTAGGTGAGTGTGTTGGTGAGCGAGTGCTGACCGGTAGAAAGTGAGCATGCAGCCTGTGATGGTCATGTTGGCCGGGACCTGGGCTGACATGCGGCCGATGAGCAGCATCTTCTCCCCGGTTTCCGGGTGGAACGCAGAGTCATGGGCATACTTAGCACGCCACACCTACACCACCACCATCATCACCACCATCACCACCACCACCACTATCATAACTACCAATACCAATACCCACCATTCGCCACGAAGTGACGGTGACATCACCATGGCACCTGTGCCAGGCCAGGTGTACTTTGAGGCCACGTGAAGTGTCGAAGGCTCACTGACAGGTCTCGGGACAGACCCAGGTGCCATGGATTGGCTAACTGAGATGACCAGTAGATGCACTAGCTACCCCCTACTCTGCTAACGTGTTGCATTTTAGCCGTCTTGCGCTCCGCTTGTTGTTGTGAGTGTCACTCCTCTGCCCTCTGTTGTTGCTAAAGGGCTACTGCCTCCAACTGCCCGGTAGCATCCTTCACCAGCCTCCTCTATAGACGCTGATCATGACACCGCTGCTACCAGTCGTCGGCAAGTCCACTCAGCTCAAAATCCTCCCGTACCGCATCAGTCTCCTGCCCATGTCCGTTTAGCCTCCTCTATGTGGCCAAACAGGAGCTGCGTGGGCATGCGGTAACTGGGCATGCGGACTACATGACCCAGTCAACGCAGCCTTACCTGCCGGAGGAGCTCAATGATGGATTTGTGAGCTCAAACAATCCAGCATGGTTAAACCCAGGATGGATAGTAGGCATGCCAGCCTGAATATCTCTAACCATCGCAGATGTTCCATTAGAGGGGTCCATGTTTCACCAGCATAGAGCAGGGAGGGCATGCCTGTGGCTAAGAAGACCTGAAGCTTCATGCGCAGTGACAGACCAGGTAGCTTTCACACAACAATGCGCAGCCGACTGAAATATACTGCCGTCCAACTGATTAGAAATGAGACTTCTGCTGTCAAACCGGAGCTGGTCATAAGCACAAACACACTGCCAGGTAAGGGAAACTCTCCACTCTCTCCACAACTGCTCCATCACCAATGGGGAGCTGAGGGGGTGGAGTGTTTGGTGGCACAAAATACCCAAGCAGGTGCTTAGTTTTAGTGGGGCTGATGGTAAGACCCCACCTCTTAGTGGCACACTCCATGGTTCAGCAGCACCTCCTCCAACTCACCCTCTGAGTGAGCAACAATCACCAGATAATCAGCATACATTAGATGGTTGACCAATAGGGGGCCATACCTCGACCGCACCCAAGCATCGATCAGCCTCCCGTTGTATCTGTACCAGCAGATGTAAATTCCTCCAGTACAGCCATAGAAAGCTTGTTGAACTATGTGGGCAAAGATTATGTTAAAAAATGTAGGAGCCAGAGGACATCCCTGTTGCACCCCAAGGTGAAGAGGGAATGGCTCCTACTCCTGGCCACGTAGCTTTATCCAGGCCTGCCCACCCATCATGACGGCCCTTAATGATTGTAAGCAGACAGTCAGGGACTCTAAAAACCTGAAGAACTGCCCACAAACCCTGGCTTGTTGATGGTATCATAGGCATTGACCAGGTCAATAAAGCAGAAATATAGGTCTTGTTGGAATTCCCTACACCTCTGCTGTAGCAAACGGACAGGGAATATGGCATCCGTGCAGGACCGCCCTGGTCTGAAACCACATTGGGGCTTTGCAAGCCTCTCCTCAGCGTGCCTGGCAAGGTGATGTTGAATAATTCTTGCCAGGACCTTTCCCAGCACACTGAGAAGAGAGATGCCCCTATAGTTGTAACAATCTGTGTGGTCCCCACTCTTAAACAGGGGGACCACCAGGGATTCTTCCAATCCTGCATAACCTGTCCTGTACTATGGGGACCTCATTTACCAGTAAAAATATGATAATTGGTTCTTTACCCTTCTATCTGGCAACAAAACTGACACCTTTTTGCAAGGAGTCATGTTTGCATAGACCGCAATACCTGCAGTCATAATACAAACAAAAGAACTTAAATCTGATAATGTGCACTGTCCTTGAAGTTGATTGGTCCACACCCGAGACAGCTTTCCTTCGAGCCTAGTCTCATATGGGTTGGACCAGATGACGCCAAAAGGCGCACAACTCAAGGACAATGCACCATCAGAGTATGAGAGCTCGGGGCAAGCATCTACACTATGGGGACCTCATTTGCCAGTAAAAATATGATAATTGGTTCTTTACCCTTCTATCTGGCAACAAAACTGACACCTTTTTGCAAGGAGTCATGTTTGCATAGACCGCAATACCTGCAGTCATAATACAAACAAAAGAACATAACTCTGATAATGTGCACTGTCCTTGAAGTTGATTGGTCCACACCCGAGACAGCTTTCCTTCGAGCCTAGTCTCATATGGGTTGGACCAGATGACGCCAAAAGGCGCACAACTCAAGGACAATGCACCATCAGAGTATGAGAGCTCGGGGCAAGCATCTACACTATGGGGACCTCATTTACCAGTAAAAATATGATAATTGGTTCTTTACCCTTCTATCTGGCAACAAAACTGACAGAGTTATGTTCTTTTGTTTGTATTATGACTGCAGGTATTGCGGTCTATGCAAACATGACTCCGTGCAAAAAGGTGTCAGTTTTGTTGCCAGATAGAAGGGTAAAGAACCAATTATCATATTTTTACTGGTAAATGAGGTCCCCATAGTGTAGATGCTTGCCCCGAGCTCTCATACTCTGATGGTGCATTGTCCTTGAGTTGTGCGCCTTTTGGCGTCATCTGGTCCAACCCATATGAGACTAGGCTCGAAGGAAAGCTGTCTTGGGTGTGGACCAATCAACTTCAAGGACAGTGCACATTATCAGAGTTATGTTCTTTTGTTTGTATTATGACTGCAGGTATTGCGGTCTATGCAAACATGACTCCTTGCAAAAAGGTGTCAGTTTTGTTGCCAGATAGAAGGGTAAAGAACCAATTATCATATTTTTACTGGTAAATGAGGTCCCCATAGTGTAGATGCTTGCCCCGAGCTCTCATACTCTGATGGTACATTGTCCTTGAGTTGTGCGCCTTTTGGCGTCATCTGGTCCAACCCATATGAGACTAGGCTCGAAGGAAAGCTGTCTCGGGTGTGGACCAATCAACTTCAAGGACAGTGCACATTATCAGAGTTATGTTCTTTTGTTTGTATTATGACTGCAGGTATTGCGGTCTATGCAAACATGACTCTTTGCAAAAAGGTGTCAGTTTTGTTGTCAGATAGAAGGGTAAAGAACCAATTATCATATTTTTACTGGTAAATGAGGTCCCCATAGTGTAGATGCTTGCCCCGAGCTCTCATACTCTGATGGTGCATTGTCCTTGAGTTGTGCGCCTTTTGGCGTCATCTGGTCCAACCCATATGAGACTAGGCTCGAAGGAAAGCTGTCTCGGGTGTGGACCAATCAACTTCAAGGACAGTGCACATTATCAGAGTTATGTTCTTTTGTTTGTATTATGACTGCAGGTATTGCGGTCTATGCAAACATGACTCCTTGCAAAAAGGTGTCCGTTTTGTTGCCAGATAGAAGGGTAAAGAACCAATTATCATATTTTTACTGGTAAATGAGGTCCCCATAGTGTAGATGCTTGCCCCGAGCTCTCATACTCTGATGGTGCATTGTCCTTGAGTTGTGCGCCTTTTGGCGTCATCTGGTCCAACCCATATGAGACTAGGCTCGAAGGAAAGCTGTCTCGGGTGTGGACCAATCAACTTCAAGGACAGTGCACATTATCAGAGTTATGTTCTTTTGTTTGTATTATGACTGCAGGTATTGCGGTCTATGCAAACATGACTCCTTGCAAAAAGGTGTCAGTTTTGTTGCCAGATAGAAGGGTAAAGAACCAATTATCATATTTTTACTGGTAAATGAGGTCCCCATAGTGTAGATGCTTGCCCCGAGCTCTCATACTCTGATGGTGCATTGTCCTTGAGTTGTGCGCCTTTTGGCGTCATCTGGTCCAACCCATATGAGACTAGGCTCGAAGGAAAGCTGTCTTGGGTGTGGACCAATCAACTTCAAGGACAGTGCACATTATCAGAGTTATGTTCTTTTGTTTGTATTATGACTGCAGGTATTGCGGTCTATGCAAACATGACTCCTTGCAAAAAGGTGTCAGTTTTGTTGCCAGATAGAAGGGTAAAGAACCAATTATCATATTTTTACTGGTAAATGAGGTCCCCATAGTGTAGATGCTTGCCCCGAGCTCTCATACTCTGATGGTACATTGTCCTTGAGTTGTGCGCCTTTTGGCGTCATCTGGTCCAACCCATATGAGACTAGGCTCGAAGGAAAGCTGTCTCGGGTGTGGACCAATCAACTTCAAGGACAGTGCACATTATCAGAGTTATGTTCTTTTGTTTGTATTATGACTGCAGGTATTGCGGTCTATGCAAACATGACTCTTTGCAAAAAGGTGTCAGTTTTGTTGTCAGATAGAAGGGTAAAGAACCAATTATCATATTTTTACTGGTAAATGAGGTCCCCATAGTGTAGATGCTTGCCCCGAGCTCTCATACTCTGATGGTGCATTGTCCTTGAGTTGTGCGCCTTTTGGCGTCATCTGGTCCAACCCATATGAGACTAGGCTCGAAGGAAAGCTGTCTCGGGTGTGGACCAATCAACTTCAAGGACAGTGCACATTATCAGAGTTATGTTCTTTTGTTTGTATTATGACTGCAGGTATTGCGGTCTATGCAAACATGACTCTTTGCAAAAAGGTGTCAGTTTTGTTGTCAGATAGAAGGGTAAAGAACCAATTATCATATTTTTACTGGTAAATGAGGTCCCCATAGTGTAGATGCTTGCCCCGAGCTCTCATACTCTGATGGTGCATTGTCCTTGAGTTGTGCGCCTTTTGGCGTCATCTGGTCCAACCCATATGAGACTAGGCTCGAAGGAAAGCTGTCTCGGGTGTGGACCAATCAACTTCAAGGACAGTGCACATTATCAGAGTTATGTTCTTTTGTTTGTATTATGACTGCAGGTATTGCGGTCTATGCAAACATGACTCCTTGCAAAAAGGTGTCCGTTTTGTTGCCAGATAGAAGGGTAAAGAACCAATTATCATATTTTTACTGGTAAATGAGGTCCCCATAGTGTAGATGCTTGCCCCGAGCTCTCATACTCTGATGGTGCATTGTCCTTGAGTTGTGCGCCTTTTGGCGTCATCTGGTCCAACCCATATGAGACTAGGCTCGAAGGAAAGCTGTCTCGGGTGTGGACCAATCAACTTCAAGGACAGTGCACATTATCAGAGTTATGTTCTTTTGTTTGTATTATGACTGCAGGTATTGCGGTCTATGCAAACATGACTCCTTGCAAAAAGGTGTCAGTTTTGTTGCCAGATAGAAGGGTAAAGAACCAATTATCATATTTTTACTGGTAAATGAGGTCCCCATAGTGTAGATGCTTGCCCCGAGCTCTCATACTCTGATGGTGCATTGTCCTTGAGTTGTGCGCCTTTTGGCGTCATCTGGTCCAACCCATATGAGACTAGGCTCGAAGGAAAGCTGTCTTGGGTGTGGACCAATCAACTTCAAGGACAGTGCACATTATCAGAGTTATGTTCTTTTGTTTGTATTATGACTGCAGGTATTGCGGTCTATGCAAACATGACTCCTTGCAAAAAGGTGTCAGTTTTGTTGCCAGATAGAAGGGTAAAGAACCAATTATCATATTTTTACTGGTAAATGAGGTCCCCATAGTGTAGATGCTTGCCCCGAGCTCTCATACTCTGATGGTACATTGTCCTTGAGTTGTGCGCCTTTTGGCGTCATCTGGTCCAACCCATATGAGACTAGGCTCGAAGGAAAGCTGTCTCGGGTGTGGACCAATCAACTTCAAGGACAGTGCACATTATCAGAGTTATGTTCTTTTGTTTGTATTATGACTGCAGGTATTGCGGTCTATGCAAACATGACTCTTTGCAAAAAGGTGTCAGTTTTGTTGTCAGATAGAAGGGTAAAGAACCAATTATCATATTTTTACTGGTAAATGAGGTCCCCATAGTGTAGATGCTTGCCCCGAGCTCTCATACTCTGATGGTGCATTGTCCTTGAGTTGTGCGCCTTTTGGCGTCATCTGGTCCAACCCATATGAGACTAGGCTCGAAGGAAAGCTGTCTCGGGTGTGGACCAATCAACTTCAAGGACAGTGCACATTATCAGAGTTATGTTCTTTTGTTTGTATTATGACTGCAGGTATTGCGGTCTATGCAAACATGACTCCTTGCAAAAAGGTGTCAGTTTTGTTGCCAGATAGAAGGGTAAAGAACCAATTATCATATTTTTACTGGTAAATGAGGTCCCCATAGTGTAGATGCTTGCCCCGAGCTCTCATACTCTGATGGTGCATTGTCCTTGAGTTGTGCGCCTTTTGGCGTCATCTGGTCCAACCCATATGAGACTAGGCTCGAAGGAAAGCTGTCTCGGGTGTGGACCAATCAACTTCAAGGACAGTGCACATTATCAGAGTTATGTTCTTTTGTTTGTATTATGACTGCAGGTATTGCGGTCTATGCAAACATGACTCCTTGCAAAAAGGTGTCAGTTTTGTTGCCAGATAGAAGGGTAAAGAACCAATTATCAACCTGTCCTGTGGTCCAGACAGTTGTGATGATGTCATATCGGAAAGTCTGCACACAGATGCCACCCTCCCTCAGAATTTAGCTTGGGAGATCATCTCTGCCCGGTGCTTTTCTTGGTCTCAGACTTCGGATTGCCCCTCACACTTCCTCCACAGAAGACACCTCAGCCAACCATTCAGAAGGGTAGCTATTTCTGCCAATATTTGAGGCACCGCAGCCCTAGCATGGTCGTCCCCACCTTGCCCCGTGATGTCTGGGCTGAGGTAATTCCCTTCCCCCAAAACCTCACAAAAGTGCTCTGTAAACCTGCAGACCTGTTCCTGGGGGTCAGAGATCAGATTACCATTCTTTTCTTTAAGGATGGTGAAAGGTGAGGCGCTGCACGTTACTTTTACGATGGAATTAAAAAGTAATTTTTGATTGCGGGCTACTGAGGCAGATTCCATATCCCCAGCAACCTGCCCCCACCACTCATCCTTGCAGCACCGAAGGGCTCTCTGAATCTCCGAGCAAAGGCTGCGGTTAGACTCCTCATTCTCTGATGTTGGATTTTTAAGACGACGGGACTGGGCATATCGTTTTCTCTCAACCAGCCGGAACACCTCTTCTTTCAGCCAGGGTCGCTGGGGAGGTCTGGACTGCATACCCAATGCAGCCATTGCAGCTGCACAAGCCACAGTCCTGGACCTCCCCCATTTCCCCTCAGCATCAGAAGTAGGGGGCATGATGCTAACCCCAGCTGCAAGCGATATTGAAATTCCTGCTTTCAACTATCCTCAGTTAGCTGAGACCAGGCCACTGTGGGTTTGAATGGGGTCCTGGGTGTACACCCACCTGGAGTGGAAGAATGGCAGGCACATCTTACAGATGACAAGTCGATGGTCAGTGGGCAGATGAGCTCCACGGTAGGTCCTGGTGTCAAGGACATGGGCTTGCATCCGCTGGTCCGTAATTATATAGTCCAAACTCGGCGTGCATCCATGATGTTGTGTGGATGTGCCGATGCCAGAACAACGTGTTCGTTATTATATGCCCATGGGCTGCGTAGAAGTCTAGCAGCCTCCTTCCGTTATTATTGAGCTGATCTGGCCCATGCCTTCCCATCACTCCAACCCAGGTATCTGCGTCATAATCCACTTGGGCATTACAGTCACGTAACATGATGACTCTATCCCGAGGGGCCACTTTAGCTAACACCTGGAATAGGAGGTTATAGAAGGCGTTTGACTCATCGGCCTTACAACCACCACCACCATTCCTCGCCTCTTGTTGATGGGGAGGCGAGCCCATAGTTACCACCATCACCACCACAACCACCAAAGAGGAGTGAGGGGTGAGTGGAGGAATGAGGTGAGTGGAGGAGTGAGGAGGTGAGTGGAGGGGTGAGGAGGTGAGAAGAGGAGGTGAGAAGTGAGGAGGTGAGTGGAGGAGTGAGGAGGTGAAGATGAGGTCAGTAGAGGTGACAGTAGGTGAGGAACAGTGAGGTGAGTAGAGGTGTGAGTAGGTGAAGAGTGAGGTGAATGGAGTTGTGCGTAGGTGAATGGAGGTGAGGTGGAGTGGTGAAATAAGATGTGACTGGAGCGAAGGATAAGTGAGGAGGTGAGGTATGGATCTCACATCCTCTTCGCTGAGCTCTGCATGTGAATAGCCTGCCCTGCATGCCAACATCAACAAGATGCACATCAATAAGATGAACATCAACAACATCATCAGAAACATGGTGTTGTGAGATGATTATGGTAGTGGTGTGGTAGTGTGATGGTGATCATGGTGTGGTGGTGATAGTGGTGTGATGGTGAACGTGGTGTGGTGGTTTGGTGGTTTGCTGATAGCCGTGTGGTGGTGGTGACCATATACTGAGACAGGCGTGGGTGGAGCGGTTACTTGACGAGTGGGGGGAGGGGTTCCCACCGGAAGTCGGTCACGATGGAGCGCGCCTGCTCGAGTTCATGGGAACTCAGCAGGAGATTTCGGGGGTCCGTGACGGCAAAGAAATGGAGGGCGCGCCCCCAAAACGTCGACTGGTCCCAGCGGGGTGATCGCAGGTCCACGACTCGGTGGAGAGCAGAGCCCCCCTCGCCCATCGCCCTGTGGTGGGAGGGAGATGGGAGGTGGGTTACATGTCTCTGAAGGCTTCCGCAGATTACTACTAATCCCATTTGTACGTCAACTTCATGCCGCACATCGGTGAAGTGGCTGCCACGGATTTTTTAAAAACTAGTCTCGTAATCCTTATTAAGATATTATCGATGGCTGAGTCGGCTTGGCGTCTACATATTTTTACTGGTTAAGGCGCGTGCCATATTCACCGTAATAACCGTGCTGGCGAGATTTATATTGTCTTAGCGAGGTCATGTCTCATGGCCATGTTATCTGGTGCCGCAGATTACTAGACGATATGATCCCGTGTTAAGTATTGAAACGTCGCTGCCTCGCATTTCTACACTTTACGGTCCAATATTAACAATCCAGTAGTCAATTTAGGAAGCTACGTGGCTTCAACAGACTTCTAATATAGTCCCCACAAAACTATAACCTATAGCTGCGGAGGAGCGGGTATCCGAATTGGACGCCAAACCACGGCTAACATTGTTATTGTAGCAAGTTATATCTGCATCAACTTGCACTGACCCGCGTGGTGAAGTATGGTCAAACAACACCCGTGACCAACAGGCGTGGGGAGGCTTTCCTTCAGCAGTGGATTGAGAAACAGATGAAAGTTCCTGATTTAATATTTAGACTATGGAATTGTACGCTGCTCCCACTGAGTTCCAGAAGACAGACCTGACCCATTACCATCTTAGCTCTCACGCGGCTGCTGAGGATTTCTGTCAGTCCCTCCAAGCCATTGCCAGTACTGCCATGCCGCTTCCACGGATATCTCGGGAACCTGGTCATAGTTGTAAAACATCCACGTAACCATTGCGTTTTTTTTATTTATCCCCGGAGCTGTGTTAACGATCGTCCCGATCGGCAAGCACTTACTTGGCTTCCGCGGATTTCTGAGATTCTTGTGAAGAGGTGGTAGCGGATGAGGAGTGGACGCGAAAAGGAGGTGGTTATTTTGATGTGATTGAGGTATTTATTAGTTAATGAGGTTAAATCTGTTTGTCATGGTTTCATGAAATGGTGAGCTGATGATGTTATTTGATGTGGTGAGTTGATGTCGTGAGGTGGTGATGAGAAGTAGTGAGGTGGTGATGAGTAGTGATGTGGTGAGTTGAGTGGATGACGAGGTGGTGAGTGGATGTGGTGAGTGGATGAGGTGGTGAGTGGATGAGGTGGTGAGCTGAATGAGAACTGGCAGCCCCCACCTGCACTTGAGGGGGGTGGGGTGCGGTGCGTCACGTGACCGCGTGGGTGGAAACCGCGACCCCCATAAAGACTCTAATTATAGCAGGGGGCACCTTGCCAGTGTTTACACACACGGTTACACAGCGCGCTAACCACTACACACAATCACACTCCCACTGTGGAAGATGGGGAGAGCGCACACACTCCACGTACACAGAGGCGCCCGAGTGGGGACTCTAGCGCAGCTGATTCTCGCTGCGAGGAGGCGGTGCGAGTCTCGGTGGCGCTAACGCACGAGCGCCTTTGCCTCTCGTCGTTGCGGACGTTCACGGTTCTAATGCCGCCCCGGTTAATACTGCGTGTTGAACCATATAACTACGACGTGCCGTCATTCGCAAAGCGTAGTACGTCAGTGTGTCAATGGCTCCACGCTCCAAATTTCCCAACTCTGGCAATGTACACAGCAGCAACACATTTTGGAACCTTTTTCCAGCATCCAAATTGATGAAAAATAAGAATAAGTTTGACCCTTTCTGGCAATAAAACAGTTAAGATGTTCAAACACCAAATACTGTAGATCCCTTTTACAAGGTATCAAGTCTGCATTAACCACACATACTTGTGGCAAAACATGCAAACACACATGCTCTGATAATAAATACATTCTTTGTGTAATAAAAGGACTCGGACACTTCCTTCTGTCTTCGTGTCTTTTATTGGGTTCTCGTCTTCACCCACACGGCACTCTGTTATAACTCTGTATTTGTAGCCCCCGGCTATTCACTGCTATTATAGCTTCTTCTTCCCTCTGACTCTCTGCTTCATCTACTGTAACCTCCTCCCTGCAGACTCGCTGCTACCTCTATGCAGACTCCCGCTGCTACCCCTATGTGCAGACCCTCTGGCTGCTACCGTATGCAGACCCGCTGCTGACTCTGTATGCAGCCCCGCTGCTGACTCTCTGTGCAGCCCCGCTGCTGACTGCAGCCTCCTCGCTGCTTCGGGTCGGTCACCGCTGGCCAACGGTGCCGATCCTCGCTCCCCCGTGTTCGTGGCGATCTCGCCACCCTCCGCTTCGCCCTTCGTGGCCTCTCTCTGTTCCTGGTTCCCCGTCACTCCCGTCTTCTTCCGGTTCCCCTCCTTCTATAGCCTAACCCCTCACCCCCCCACGTGACCTAACTCCTCCCCTCCTGACGTCACCTCCGGAGGGCCGTTTACGCCCGCATTACATCTGGAACGGATGTGTGTAGGCCAATCAGTTTCAAAGACAATGCATTTAATTGCATGTTTTTCCGCAGAGCAGCTGAAATCGCCGCACAACCTTCCGGCGAGCCCTTGGCAGGACCCCCATGACTCAGCGAGGCGCTCCTCCTGGGTGAACGCGTGGAATGAAGTCGGTGGTGGTGGTGCTGGTGGTTGGGGTAGTTGGGAGTGCAGTTCATGCGGAGCCGCCGACTCTCACGCGCGGCACCGGCAGAGCGTGACTGCTGATGCGACAATGTCGAAACCGGTCTGGGGTGTGCGTACGTGGGACCCATGGTTCTCGATCATTAATGAAAAGTCAATCACGATGCGCCAGTCTCTCTCTACTGCTGGATGAACGCCTCCGTTCTCGGTGTGCCGCTGGCCCGATGTCTCTCGTCGGTGTGTAGGCGCAGCTCTGCAACTGCTCGCTACTCGCCACTGCTGCTGGCAAAAGGGGCCTCCACTCGAGGGAGCTCCAGAGAGATTCGGCCAACTCTTCCATGCTGACGAGATATCTTGAAAGAGATGAGGAGTACTCACTTTACCCCACCACCCGCAGTGACCTACCTGCACGTCGACTTAACCCATTTAGAATCAGAATGTTTATTTATACCGGAGGAATCATATGAGCTATTAAGCTCTTTTCACATGTCCTGGAGGGGCGGGTAAGAAGGTTACAACTAACAATACAAAAACATAAGTGCAAAGTACAATAAAGGTAAACAAATCACCCAAACACATCAAAAGAAACCATCCCCATCCTGCCATGCAAGCTCAACGAGGTACTCACATCGCTGCTGGGGGGAGGTGGAGTTTATGTGGAGTTTATGTGGAGGTGGAGTTTATGAAGGCTCCGTTGTTTAAACTGCTGTGCCAGGATTTCGAACAGGCATTTTTCCCCACTTACAAGTATCACACTCACTATATATTTAAACACCATGCCCCTAATTGTATGTGCTGGCTATGTGGACAAGACCCCCAATCCCGGTCTTCAGTGCCCCGTGCCCCGCCACCCAAGCCGAACACGTTTCACCACCCCCCACGTCCGCTGTCGTTCCTGACTTAGTGCGCTTGGCCAGCGATGGCAGCGTCAATCTCGAATCAAATTGAAGCCTTGGTTCAGAAATAACATTCAGAAATGACACGTTCTTATAAATATCGAGAGGACATCCATATAGAGCGATGAAATCATCGCAGGATCGTGACAAGTGCCAGCGGTGGCTCTAAGAAGCGATAAATCCAGCAGTGGATCGACACTGGCTGTCCACGCGTGTTCTATTGAATCGTGGGGAGGCAACGATTATGTGAACAGGCTTCCCCGAGGTGGGCTCATTCTCAAATGAGTAGCTGGTGAACGTCATCATTAGGGAGACAAAGACGGCTGGGCGTGGTGCTGGTCATCTATCCGCTCGTGCGCGGCCTTCATCGACACCACCACCGCACTCACCCAGCACTTGGTCTGGTCTCTAGGCCGCGGCTTCGGCACAACCGACGCGGCGCCGGCGGCCGCCTACGGAAAATAGTTCCGTGTCCGGCACCACCGAACGCTTTTAAAAGCCTGAGCACCGCTCACGCGAGGCGGTGTTTCACCGCTGAGGCAGAATAGTTTTCCGTGGCGGATGAATACCGGCACTCGGATCGCGTTATGATGCAAAATGCGATTCCTGGAGTCGATTCTGGTGGTTCCGTGAGCAGTTTGCAAGTGAGTCGCAATTACCGTGAATCGATTCAGAGGTTTTTTTATGAAACCGATTCCTACAGCCTGCAGTGGAGGCCCGAGGTGAGGTGAGGTGTATGTGGTGAGTGCGAGCGTGTTGTTGTAAGTAACAGCCTTGTGGTGATATAGTGAGTGTGGTGAGTGAGAGTCTGGTTAGAGAGTGAGTGTGATGAGTATGTGGTGAGTGAGAGAGTGTGTATTGAGAGAGACTGTGTGGCAAATAGACGTGTGTGTGGTGAAATAGAGTGTGTGGTGAGAGAGAGTGTGTGTGTGGTGAGAGAGAGTGGTGTGTGGTGAGAGAGTGTGTGTGTGGTGAAAGAGTGTGTGTGTGTGTGGTGAAAGAGTGTGTATGT